GCCATAATGACCTATTGTGTAAGAATATAATCTACAATGAGAAACAAGGTAGGTATTTGGCCTTAGCAGTAAGTAAAGTTGATTTTTTTTTCTGTTTTTATTGGTCCTTTGGTCTTTGTATCAGTAAAATAAATTTAATTCAAATACAAGGATTAAAAATATGCAAAAAAGCCTTTAAAGATTTTCTTTTAGGTTATGAAGTATTGGTAACTGTGATGAGTCAGGATATATATGTTCTCTACATATTTGTATAAAATGTGTTTTTTAGATTTGTTTTGTTAGAAGGTTTGTGGTTTCTGTTGGATTTTTAAATTAAAAATGATGAAATGATTTTGTTTATAAATTTAACTGTAAAAACCATTTGGTTATTTATGATTTGGAAGTGTACCTGCTTGTAATGGGGGTAACAGAAAATCAATAAATTGACATTGCACTGCTTTGTAAATACAGAAATTTTCTCAAAGTGTTGGGAAAGACAACAGTTATATTAAAAACAAATGTGTCTCCTGGTTTCACATTACTGTTTTGTTCGATATTTTGATGCTAAGGAGAGCCACAAATAGAGGAAATATTATTTGTAGTTGCTCAAATTTATATCTTTTAAATTAATAATCGGGAGCTTTGGTAGATAGTTTTTAACATTTTTTCAGATAGACAGTGATACCTTTTGGTGGTATGTTTTTTGTGAGTGTTCATATCTGACTGTATTCAGTTTCTCTGTTTTTATACTTAAGAACACTGGATTGTATTATATTGTTAGGTAGTGTGGTTTGAGGTTTGGTTGCTAAATGATAGCTGCTCTTCAATGCTAAATTGAAATTTAAAAATATAATTTTGGTTAAAGGATTTGTATTAGCTTAAAACGTGTGTTTGAAACTATGAAGCTGTTGCGTTTTATGGGAAACCAGTTTTTGAAGATATGCATTATAGCTGAAGACCAGATTTTGAATCAAAAGTGTACTTTTGTGAATATACTAAAGCCAAAAGAATCCACATTAACATGGTCATAATTAAATTACTCTTTATGGTCTTTCTTAGAGTATAAGTTGTGACTATTCTAATATAAAAGTTGTTACTATACGTAGCTGACTTTAACTTAAAGAAGACCAACCAAAGGTACACTGTCCAGAGTGGGTGGTAGCCTTAAGCACATATTTTCAAAAACATGTTTGATAATTTTTAATATTTGATATTTTAATGTGACTTAAAAATTTGATTTTTCAAAAATATACTGAACTAATGTCTTTATTTTGAATTGTCTTGAAATGTTTGTGTAGAATCATTTTTTTTAAATTTCAGGCATACCCTAAAACATTAAGTATTATGGTCCATTTGCTGTATATAATTGCCATTGTATATATGTACTACATTATATACTAGTAACCAAATCTCAATGCCATTTGTGAGACATGTGCATCAGTTAAGCATTAAAGCAATATAGTAGCTTGTAAATTCAGTGCAAGACCTAATAACACATTTTATGTAATGGAATTTCAAGTGAGGGACTTCATCTTACATTTGAAGTGGACACTCAGCTTTATTTTTAACTGCAGATTAATCAAAGAGAATCTGTTATTTCCTTTGGAATATAATTTTAAACTTTCATGTTTTTAGTTTTGCAAGTTTCTTTTGCATATTCATTTCACAGTATAAACTTGTTTATAAAACTAAAAAATAAGGGACCAAAAAAATCAGATTACTTTGTTTTATGTACTAGAAAATAACATTTTAACCTTTTTTATTTAAATGGTTGCCTATCTCTAAAACTATTAATTAACTATATGAAAAGTTGCGGTGCTTTCACATAAAATCTTTTTGTTTTAATTTGGCTTTAAGAGTTTTCAAGGTTTTTGTTATTATTATACTATTATTATTTTGCCAAGAGTTACTTGAATCATACTTTTATGTCTAATTTTCTTTCCTACACAGAAAAAGAAACTGTACATTTCCACAAATGTAACTATTTTGATATGTTTTTTAGAATTCGCCCTTTTCTATGGAAGTCTATTTTATACCATTTGTTTCTTTTTGTCCTTGTGGTTATGTATGTGTGTTAGTTATGAAAATGTTCTGTTCTCCCCTCTCCTTATCAGTGGTTTTATAATGTTTCTTACGAAGGCTAATTTGGACCCTATGGCATCCATTTAAAAATAAAACAATCAATTTTTGTGTGAGTAGTTGAAGTACAAGCATTAAGAAAATATGATTAGAATGAAATTCAGGTTAAAGTAAAACTGATGAAAGTGTGGCATAAAGCTTATTCTAGTTTTATGATTATGTTTCAGAATAGGAGCTAAGGTAATAAGTATGAGGCCTGGTATTATATTGTTAAAAGAAGAAAGTATCAGGCCTCATACTTAAAATGCATAAATTCTATAAATTTAGTAAATTTAATAGGCAATATAGTCAATATTTAGTAATATTGACTGTAGTGTAGCATTAACACCTTATACCAGAGATCTCAAATAGGTTAATTAAAACTAGAAATACGGTCTGCAAAGTTATTTACTTTCTTAACTGGTTACCTTGTCATAGTATATAAAAGCCCAATCGAGTCTTGAGATTGAGATAATTTCCACATAGAACAATTTATTAAGCTGCATATTATATTCACAAATACATCTGATTTGTTATCACTTCTTAGTCATTCATGTGGCTGAGCTTAGTGCTTCATTATTGTGTACCCACTAATAGATACAAATAGATAAAAAATAGTAAAATGAAAGCAAAGAGACTGGCCTTGACATCATTAAGCTCATGTTTGCCTGTAGTATCTGTTAGACCCATAATTTCTCAGAAATACGTGTTTTAGGCCAACTTCACAAATTTATGCTGGATCATGTTGACATCTCTGCATATATTTTTAAACCATAAAAACTTAGACTTTGTATATATTAACTAGAAATATCTAAGTTACTCTTAAAAGCAGATGTATTTAAAGCTTAGTTACAAATAAGAGAAATAAGAAAGAGTATGGATTCTTAGAACCAAGCACACTTGGCTTCAGATCCCTACCCAGTCACTTACAGAAGTAAGTTGTGTTAGACAAGAATCACATAAAGACTTCTTGATTATTTACCTCAGAATCACCTACGGTACTCGGAAAACTGCAGATTTCTAGGCTCTTTCCAAGACCCATTGAACTAGAATTCCTTAGATATGCTTAGAAATGTGTGTTTAACAGATTCTGGGGCAATTCTTGTACTGTGAAAGTCTAGAACTTCATTTTGCTTTATTTCTAACTGAGAGATAATATCTACTTCAGACAGTTGCTGTCGAGATTTTAGATAATTCATATAAAATATATAGCACTGGACCAAGTACTTTACTTAGCCACTCTTTGTTGTAGCTGTTATACTAAGATGGGTATTGGCAAACTTTTTCTGTAAAGGGCTAGGAAATACATCTTTTAGGCTTTGTGGACTATATAGTCTCCGTTGCAATTCTTCAGCTTTGTTGTGGAATGAACACAGTCAAGACAGTATTGCATATAAATAAATGAGAGTGACTGTGTTCCAACAAAGTGTTATTCCCTAAAACAGGTGGAGGTTGAATTTGGGCTGAACATACATAGTTTGCCAACCCTTGTATTAAGCATCATTTTATAAAATGTATCTGATCCTAAAAAGGTGAAAAATGGTTATTATAGATCAGAAAGTTATGTCCTATAACTAGGAAATTATGACTCATAGGTATGACATGACAATGTAGTTTGTTTTTAAGTGCAACTTATAGTTTCTATCTTAGCTATAACTTATGATTTAGAATTAAAAATTATATGTATGGGTATATGTATTCATATCTACACATTCATACACACATAACAGACTATGAGCACCCTGCAGTTTGTAGGCATTTTCACATGCGAATGTTACAGGAACTGGTAGGCATTGCAGGAAGAAAAACTGCTTCTACCTGCTTTCACCATGCCAGTTGACAGGACACAGGAATGTGGGAGAAGAGTTGAGCTTCCTTTCTGAAGTTGATGGTAGCTGTCAAGATTTTTGAAAAGATAGTGCCAGGAGTTTAGGTGATTGGTAAACAGCGGCCCATTCCTTGCCTTCAGTGAAATGACATCCTAAAGGTAAGAAAATAATACTTAATGATATGATGATAGAATTTGATATGTAGTAAGAAAACTAAGAGCAGTGGTTCTTGCTATGGAACTATAGGACTTACCAGTTAACTTTTAAATAAATCATTAATTTTATAGACTTTATACTAAGTAGAACAAATTGTAATATTGCTTATTGTCTAACTGATTTTAAATCTAATATTTTAATTTCAACTAATCCTTTAACTGCTGACACGTAAAGTAATTCCTAAAACTTTTGAGATTGCAGTCTCATGTCTTAAGTTCTGATGACTTTTTGTGATTGTTTTCTCTTACTCTTCCCGTTTCTTCTTAAAAGCTCATACATATAAATATCTAATATATAACTTTAAATTTTAGGAACGATGATCACTTTATTTTTTCTGTTAGCAAACTACACCTGATTTGTAGCTTTTTAAGGAAATACAAATGAGTTGAAGAAAAGGAAAGCTTTTCCTGGGAATTAAAGAATAAACCTTTTTTTTTCTTTTTTTAAAAAGAATTTTACAGTCTTAATAGAAAATGAATGAGTCACCATTCCTAGTTATTTGATTGACCCTAAATCTTATCCACTCTATTACTATTATTATTTGTGAGAATGCATTGGTGTAGTTGTGATTATTTTATTGATATTTTAATACTTAAGAAGAGTTTTATTAGCTTTATTTTAAAATTCAAATGCAAATTCATTTTTGTGTTTAGTAACCTATATTTTTCATGATGGAGTTTTTTTAATGAAGGATAATCTTTAACTGTATTTTAATTTGTATTCTAGATAGACCACTAGTTAGCAGAAAATAAACTATCCCTAAGTCAGGTAATAAAATAGCTTAAATGTCAAAAGGTTGTAAAAACCTGAACTATTAAAGAAAAGTGACTTAAAATAGCATTTGAGTGACCTAAACATCTGCCAGTTTAAGTGTTGTTGCTTTTTCCACTTATGCATTTGACCTACTATGTGTTCAGTCATATATTTTAATAAGAATGTCAGAAATGCCACATTTCTTTCTTTATTATTTCATGCTTGTTTTGTCTCCTCCCCAACTCCAAACATGTGTTATTATTATGTCTCAGCATTCTCTGCAAAATCTTCATTTATTCCACTAGCATTTGAATATTCCGTGTGCTAGCAATTACTCTGGATCGCATGATGAAAGAAGAAAGAGGTTTATTTTCCTCCCAGGAGATCATGTATTATGTAGCAGAGGAGTCAGATCACTAAACAAATACTTACGATGAGTGCTATGGTGATGATGTACAGAGTACTACTGGACACCAGAGGGAGAAATGAAGGGAAAGTTTCCCACTCCCTGCTTTTTTCTGTATAACAGAGAGAAGAGAAAACATTTTTCTGACATTAGTATGATTATAGTTAGTTTTCTCATTGTTCTCTTTGCATCTACCTAACAATGCAGAACAAGTAGGGTAAGTTGGAAGGATTTTCAGGTTCTCATCTTGACTGTTTTGCTTTTCATTGTTCCCCTTTTCTTCTAACAATAAAATAAAGGCATCCTGGCAAACATATCATGTGATAATTATATAACCATAGATAATACGTTATTTTTTGGTTTTAAAGTGCTTTAAAAATTGGTAGATTTAGATTTGAATGGTAGTGTGTGGATTTTATTGCTGTAGTGAAGCTGTGCAAGAAATACAGTAATAAAAAACAAACTAGCTTTTGAAAATTAAAAGTACAGTTTTATTCATTAATTAATGCTTTACCCATTACATTCTTATCATTGTGCTAATTATATAAGGATACATAAAATAACAGTCATATACCTTAAAATAGTGGTTCTTTACTTTTATAGATCAGGGATCTTTTGAGAATCTAGAAAATTGAGAATCTCCTTAGAAAATACACATACACATAAAATTTTAGGGAGCATTCTCATTGTCTTCTCATTGTCTTCTTCATTGCCTTTCCATCCTTGAAACCCCAATTAAAAATTCATGTCTTAAAGAATTGACAAGATGGTCATGCCATATGAGCTAGTTAATTATTAATGGTGATGTGGACATTCTTTTAAACAATGGGAAATTTTACAAATCAGAAGTTAAATTTATAGATGGAAAAAATGTATTTTCTGTTGATAGGAAATCATTTTCTAGTAATTTGATTTTTCTGGCACCCTAAGAGAAGTAGGCTTCTTTCATTTTATTTCATTGCAGAAGATTAAATTTAAGGTTGAGTTCCACTTTGTTTGCAATAGTTTGAAAAGGAATAGTCAATGCAGATTTTTAAAAAATTTTTTTTCCTTTTAAGCTTTGTGTCTTGTACAATGTGAGTTTGCCAAATTTTCTTCATCTGCTACAGATTAGGTATGCCATTGTTGCTGCCATGTGGCGGCGCACCCCGTGCTTCTTAAACGCACTGACTGGAGGTTTATCGCATCACTTGTTCACATGCACGGAGCCTGGTAACAGCCTCATCTGTATCTTGTTAGCTTCATTTTCTTATTTTTTAAATTTCATAATTTATAAACTCAACATAGCATTTAAAAATAAAGGCTAGTTGTAATGAATTAATGTTACTACAAAAAGTCATTGCTAAAATTTTCGTACTGAAACAGATTTTAACGTTTGTTAAAATGAGCTATGCTTTAATTAAATTGTATTTACTTTACAAGCAGGCATGTTTTACCTGCCACTTTAACTGTATTTGCCAAATTCTAAATATAATTTTGAAAATTAAAATTGAAGCTTTTATTTATGTGGCAAAAGTAAGCTTCAGGACTGGGCTGTGTATTTTTATTGGCATGTAAAACTTAATATGAGCTCTACAAGAATTTGTGTTTAAAGAGCTAAAGCAATCAACAGCTGCAGTATAAAAAATTATATATTAAAACTGTTAGGTTTGGCTCAGTTGTGCAACTTCGTAGATCTCGTATCCTGATTTTCTGAAAGCTGGTGGATAAGTATCTCCCAAATTGTTGTGTTTAGTCTCTTATGGATAGTGTTATATACAGAATTCACCTTATTCTCTTTCAGAATAACATTTTTCCTCCAAAAAGTAATATTTGTTGTAAAGAATTTTTAAAATAACAGAAAAATAAAAGAAAAAAAAGTCACTTGTCTATCACCTGTAATAATTGAAGCACTTTGTTTTGGTGTATTTCCATTCATCTTTTTTTCCCTTGTTCATTATTTTTATATATATTTTCTCTTTAGGCATAATATTTTCATAATTGGATCACAGCATGTTTACTATTTAGTGCCTACTTTCATATGACATTTGTAATTCCCCTGGTCATTATTTTTAAAATGAGATTTCATGGTTTTATTTTTATGCCTCAAGTATTTTATCATGATGGTGGTCTTTACTCTCTCACTCTCGATGATTCCTAGAAAATAGATTTTAAAACATGTTCCTACTTCTCATTCTGCAGTTTAGTAATTTGATTAACTGTAAGACTTGGAATATGTTCTATGAATGTGAGAATGTAATACTTGAAGTAGTTGAATTGCCGTGATTTATTGTCACCAACATTTTAAACTCTTACATTTATTATAACAATGCATTAGGTTTTAATAACCAGGATATGATACTTTGATCATTCTCACTTTGTTCAAGACATTACTTATTTATACATGTTTAAAATTATATATTAACAAAATTATATTTAAATTTTTTAAGATTGTTATGTTGAACATTACATTTGCCATAACATTTTTTGGTTATATAAAGTTTTGTCCTCTGTGTTTGAGTATGACCAACATACCTCTCCAGATTAAACTTAAAATTTTGTATGAAGACATGATAGTTCAAAAGCAGTTTTTATATGGGAAATAAATACCAATGTTTAGAGATCAAGAGTTAGTTTTCTTCATCTTGATGTTTAAAAGACAGTGTAACTGTGCAGTGTTAAGCATTTTATAGATCTGTTATTACGGCCATCTCTGTTCATGTATCCATTTTAACTCCATTACCCTGTAGGCCTTTGAGTTTGTGATCCGTGGTATAGACAGTGACCTATGGTTTTCTGGTTTTTTTTTAAATGTCTCTCTCTCTCTCTTTTTTTTTTTTCTTGTTCTGTACAGGACCTATATCTTTGTTGAGCCAAATCCTTTATAATATTCAGTACTCAAAAATTAAAAATTCATAAGTAGCAGTATGTTCCTAGGAAAGGGCCTATCTTTGGAGCATTAAAATGACATGCATATATATATGTGGCAAAAGTAGCAGTAATTTAGAATAGGATTCTATTTAGCTTATTTAAAATTTTTCCAAATTTATAAATGTTAGAAGAAACTATACCTTTGCTCTTTTTAAAAGATAAATCCACCACCCTAATGCTACTCAGATATGGAAACCTTAGTTATGTAGCATCCCAGGAAAATGTAAGAGTATGATAGCTACTAACTTCTTAAATTAGTGATATTGTTAAGTTGATCAGCAAATATTATAGCATTATTGCAAGATTTACAGAATTCAAGTCTTTGAAAGTTTGTTTTATTTCCATATATTGATAAGCTTATAAATTTATTGGAGTATCTGTTGTTTTTATTGATATTACAGATTATTAACAATTTTCAAATACATAATTTTCATTTCTAATTAAGCTTGAGTTCTTAAGTAACTGATGCCCCCATGTGGTGAAAGACATATTTTGCATTTGTTTGAACTTGGAAAATGATCATATTTTCATTTTTCTTTAATAAAGTGCACACTGGTGTTCACAAAGAAGCTGTTGACCAAGGGACATAATTTGAATTTTGTAAAGCTCATTGCCATAAAATTCACAGCCTTACCCTGTATTGTCTCAGAAGTGCATGTAACCAAGCACATATCATGAGACAAGATATTGGAAGCTATTTAATTACAAATAGCATAAGAATTTTCTGGTCTTATATGTGATTTCTTAATGTCTTTGTTTTTGTGTCTCACATAGGTGATGTACAGTTCATTGATTATGAATATTCTGGATACAACTACCTGGCATATGATATTGGAAACCATTTCAATGAATTTGCAGGTAAAACCCAAGGGCTTACTTAACTTTACAATGATTTTTTCAGAATCTTTTTTTTCTTTTTTGTAAAGATCAGTTAGGAGCAGGAGCAACATTTTCCCGCTTGCTACTCATCATTTTTCTTTGTTTTTGTTTATTGCTGGAGGAAAGAGATGACCAAAATTTATTTCTTAATCATCATTTAAAAAAAATGAATAGGAGAAAAATAGTGATTGTGGCTTGTGTTCAAACCTGCCTTAGTGCAAGATACTTCACAAATAGCTTTTTCCCCCCTCTACAACAATCCTGTAAGGTCATATTCCCATTTTACAAATCAAGAAAGTAACTCACCAGCGTCACAGTTAAATACCAGAGAACTAAGATGAGAACCTAATGTTTATTTTTTATTTTTTTGAGTTGGAGTCTCATTCTGTCACCCAGGCCGGAGTGCAGTGGCACACTTATGGCCACCCCAGCATCCACCTGCTGGGCTCCAGCAAGCCTTCCACCTCAGCCTTCCAAGTAGCTGGAACTACAGGCACGCGCTACCACACCTGGCTAATTTTTTATTTATTGTAGGGACGAGGTCTTGCCAAGTTGCCCAGTCTGGTCTTGAACTTGCAGGCTCAGGCAATTCTAGTCACCTCAGCATCCCAAAGTGCTGGGATTACAGACTGAGCACTGAACCCGGCTGAGAACCTAATTTATAATCAGTTAAAAGCTTTTACTCTTTTTGTTATAAACTCAGACTTTGGGAATGTTTGCTCACTAAAATATTCAGAAAAGCTCAATGGTTTTTTTGTTTGTTTTGGTCTTTGGCTGTAAATATTGAAAAGTTGACTGTTAACTTTTTTTTTTTTACCCCATTAATCTATAATCACTTTTATCTAAAATCACTAGTTTTTTATATAAGCAAAATTAATGTAAAATTCATCATATAACTGCCTAGAAACTTGAAATGCTCTAAAACTAAAGATTAGGAAATGTCCCTGGATGGTTTATACTTAGTAGGAATTTTACATTGTTGAATTTGTATTTTGTATAACTTTATGCACTCATGTAGGTTTATATACTTCAGATTACCAGACTGGGAACTAATTTGGGAAAGAGTTTTAATTTATGTGTTTGTAGTATACATGCCATAGCTTCATATATATGCTTATACATATTATTACATGTCTGTAGGCAAGGAAACCAACTGTGCATATAATGAGATATCACTATGTTAATAATAGAGATAGTCACAGCTGTAGATACAAGAGAGAAAACTCCAGTGATCTTTGAATTTGAATGGTTTTGTGGAGAAAAAAATTGAGCTAAAACTTGAGCTAAAACTTGTGGAGAAAAAAATTGAGCTAAAAGTTAGGTAGACTTTGGGAGGGCATTGCAGGAAAGGGGAACAAAACCTCAAGATAAGGTACTTATTCATGAAGGAGAATAGAAGGTTTTAAGACTAGTGAGGTAGATTTAGCCCAACTTGTGAATAACCTTGAGTGCTAGGCAAAATATTATGAACTTTGTCTTTTAGGTTAGTCTTTTTCAAATGTAGATTATAAAATGAAATTAGGGGCAATGACCTTTTAAAAAAAAAAGCAAGGAATGAAAAAATAATAGAAATAGAAAATATCAGAGTTGGAAGATAGAATTGGGGTAAATATTGTTTTGTGAAACTCAATATCAGGTAGTATATGTATGAAGTCTCAGTAAAATGTGTTTCTTACTGTGAGTCATGGTCATAAAAGTTTTATAGCTATAGTTTTGAGATAGTGCCCCCAAATGTTTAGTGTGCTTAAGAATTTTCTGGGGTGCCTATTAAATTAGAGATTTTGGGCTTCTGATGTAGGTGATTGAAACTACTCTTAATATACATCTAGTATTCCAGCCAAAAGGGAATTTTAATTTTTTTTAATTTAAAAAAATGGTGGTGGTAGGGATTATTAATATATGCAGAAGAGTATGTGTTTTTTTTTTTATTCCCTAAAGGTGTGAGTGATGTAGACTATAGTCTCTATCCAGACAGAGAATTGCAGGGCCAATGGCTGCGGTCTTACCTTGAAGCCTACAAAGAATTCAAGGGTTTTGGGACTGAAGTTACAGAAAAGGAAGTAGAAATACTCTTCATTCAAGTGAATCAATTTGCATTGGTAAGTATAAATGTGAGCAATTAGTGAAAGGTTCTTACAGTAATTTTAAAAGTTTCTACATTTTTATCTCATAAAAAATTTTCCATTTAAACTCTGTGACTCTTTGTTCAAAATAATGAAAGAACATTATTATTTACAATTTATATTACCCCACTGTGTTGCTTTCAAAGACAAAAATTTTGTTTCATTCACTATGTTCTCAGGCCCTGACCATATAGTAGGTACTCAGTAATTATTTATTTAATGAATGGATTCTTGTTAGGATTAGGATTAATATGTGAAAGGTTTTTTTGTTTTTTTTTTTAATGTGTGTATTTTCTTTCTTTACATCAAAGACAGATTTTATCGGAAAGGAGGTTTTCTGCAGTGTATTATCACTATTTCTTAATGCTATTGTGATAAAAGTAGGTTGGAAGGACCATAAGAATTATGTTTTTCATGACTTATCCAGTGTTTTGTCTTTTTGACTTTCTTTCGATAAGCAGTTATTTCCAGCTGCTTTGGTGTTTTAATGCTTTATTATTATTTTTGAGACCCAATTCTTTTTATATGCATTTGTCTTTTAAAAATTAGCTCTTTAAAATTATCTTTTGAAAAAACTGTGATGCATTAGAATGAGCTTTCAACTAAGTTATTAGACAATTAAATTGAATACCAGGTTCAAGTTATTTTAGCTGCTACTTTTTAGTTTTAATAGAACTTCATATGACAGACACGGGGAATATTTGCCATGTTGTCTTTACAAACAGACCCTAGTGGTGGCTCATAGGTGTACTGTTTTCAATATCTTAAGAGAAGCATATTTCCAGAGTCACTTGGAATACATCTCAAGTAAGAGGGTATGCTGAAATGTGACTTTACCTGCAGTTCTGATGTCTATTTTCTGCAGAACTGTTGGTTCAATTAATGGCATGCTCTCCAGCTGGTTCTAGTATACCTACTGTTTCTATTTACTCAATTTAAACATGACCTTAAAGTAGAGAATGTAAGGTTTTCTGTCTCATTAGGTCATTTAATGAACTTCAGAATCAGCTTAATATTCCATTTAGCCAATTTTTGTATTAATAAGAGGAATATTATTGTTGCTGTAATTTGTATTTTCCCATAAATTAATTTATCATACTCCTAAGGCATTGAATTTATTTCCACATAAAGTATACATAGCTCATAAACTCTTAGTCATTGATCCCACTATTTGCTATTAGAGAGCTAACTTGTATTATCTTGCAAACTCTTTATGATGTCAAACATGTTATTTTGGGAAACTGGTTTTACCTACACATGGTATTGAAAAATACAATTACTTCTGATTTGATCACCCAATTGCTTATAAATATTCATTAATCAGATACTAAGCACATTGGAAATTTAAAGGAATTAAACAGTGCATTCTTTCAAAAGCTTATAATTTAGAAGGGCAAATAAGATTTACAAAGTAACATTTTGTGGCAAAATTTAACACCCATTTCTATGTAAAATTATTAGCAAGTTGGAGTTGTAAGGAAACTTATTTAATGAGATTTAAATATTTTTTTTAATCTCCATGAAATGTGCTACAACTATATCCATAAAATGTCATACATTCAGTAGAAGGTCTGATTTTTAAAAAGGACAAAAGATGACAGAGACAATACAAAACTTCAATACATTTAAAATAATATTTCTAAATAATTTAGCATGTCCCCTGAATTTACATATGCTTATGGTTTCACATAAGGTATGTAGTAAGTTCATTATACTTTCAGGTTCTGATACCAAGTCCCTATTTCTTCCTCATTAAGAAACTGTTAAAAAACCCTTCATTGATTAAGCCAGTTTTTGTCTCAGTTCTTATTATTTTATCAAAATTCTGATGATTCCCTGCTCTGTGTGCTTTTCTTGACCTTTCTCTTCTGAGATGTGTGACATTGTTGCATCAGGGCCTTTATTGCTGTCTTCAGGATAAAAAGAGTATAGCAGAACACTCTCACATGACTGCCTCACTGAGATCATCAACTTTTCTTTCGATACATTTTCTTTTCTTTTTCACAACTTTTTTTTTTTAAGCTAATCTTCTTCTCTTACAAATTCTTAATTTCATCCCACTGATTATAAAGTGCCTGTCATATCTCAAGTGTTTGAGTGTATAAATTATTGAGAATGAGAGTGAAATAAAAGGAAACTCTCGATCTTTCTCTATTTTTCATGCATTCTGCAGACCACTGCAGTCTGCCTTTTCCTTCACTACTATAAAAAAGCTCAGGTAAGGCTTAATTTCTAAAGCCCAATATAAACATTTTAGTCCTTATCTTACTTAATCTTTCCATAGCATTTGACAGTATTTACCATTAATTTAAAAAGTTTTCTCATTGACTTTTTGACACAATTTTGTTCTGCATGGTGAAAATAAGGAAATTATCAAAGTATGATGTCATGACTCACACAGTTTATTGCCGTAAAGAACATTTCCCCCCCTTAAATTCACACTGCTTATAGAGGGAAAGAACAACTTGAACTAATTTCACAGGGAATACACTGAATCGATGAGGAACATTAACCACATAATGAGTGAGTTCCAAAATTATTAAAATCTAGTTTTTCAGCTGGGATGGAAGCAGGCCTCTGTGGAAAGTAAAATCAGATTAAAGTTTAAGTGTACTTTTGTATGATCAGTTTCTTGGGAGAAACTGGCTTTACCAACACTGGAAGGATCCATGAAGACACCTATAGTCCCTTTACGCTAGAGAGTGGTGCTGGTGTTGTTGGGACAAGGCTTCAAAGCTCCAAAGCATGTCAAGGTCTGAACTCTCCACATTTGAAAAAATGACTGACAAAGTGCAGCCTGACATGAGCAAAGCTCTCAAAATGTCACACTCTTAGGTTTGTATATATTTTAAAGTCCATTAGTTGGGGTCAGTAACTCACATATGAGCTGAGAAAAATTGAACACGGCATTCCTGAAAGGAGAGGGATTTCAGCCCAAGTTCTCACATGTGGGGTCTGATAAGATGTCACAGTCTCAAAGGGATTCTGTCTTATTTCCTACTACTGTATTTCCCACCTCCTACTTCTGCTTTAGCAGAATCATCTTGTTTCTGCATACTCTGTGATGTTTCATGCTGTATACTTTTGTATATTCCTCTTATTTCTTATAGATGAGTCTTAAGTACTGTTTTCTTTCTCTTGTTTATTTGTCATTAAGAAGACAGTATGTATACATCATAAGCTGCTTTGATAAGGGGAAAAGCAAGTCTGAATAAGGTCAGAGTATACATGTTTTAAAATAAATGGTCCAGGCTAAAATAACTTGGACCTGGTATTCAATTTAATTGTCAACATACCCTCTTACTTGAGATGTATTCCAAGTGACTCTGGAAAATATTTATTAAATATCCATATTTTAAAATAAATTCATTACATGTTAACATATGTACCATTTTTTAAAATGAAAAGAATAATTTTCAAAACAGTGAGAAGAATGACATTATTTTATACTTTTGCAAATTTCTTTATGTCTGACTAAATAGAACAGAGCTGGATTCTTATGTCTGCATTCCATCTGTTGTGATATATTGTTTCAGTTGAAGTGTATTAAAAAATAGTTTCACACATATGTTGGAAAAGAGGAATGTTTTGCCTTTTTAGATAATTGTGGACATTCTTTTTTAATACTATACCAAAACTCAGCAAGTGGAAGTTTCTTAAAGGTTAGTTGCAATCAGTTTACTTTTTACTCGATTACATTAGAAGATTAGTTGCAGTCAATTAATATTTTAACGTATTACATTAAAATCTATTGTTTTATCTTGCAGTTTGAATTATTCTTTTACCTGTATGTGATTTTTAAAATTTTGACATTACTAGTTATTTGGAAAATATTGGTTCATTGAGTTGTATAGAGCTCTCAAATGTTGACACATCTTGTGTCAAAAGATCACATACATTGATATCATCACAAGTGACATCAGAAAAGCTTATAAGACTATACAGAGAAACTGTTCAGCTCACAGAATCAAATACAACTTTTCTCAGTTTCTAATTTTAGGGCTGAAAACTTGATTTTATCATTGGCAACAAGTAATGTCAGTTATTTTCACTGAAATGACAAGTTATCTTTTTTATGTTATATTTAAGAAAATATATGCCAAATATCAAATTTGATAACTCTAGTTTGTATATCATTTTTTCAAGTAAAAATGGCATTCCATTTAAAATGTGCAAATTTAATTCACAACTCTGTTACCTAAGTACTTTTCCTGGAACAACCATTATACTTTGGGTACGCAGTAGACATGCTTTATGTGCACTTCCTACTTTGTCTCACAGAATTTTATTTTATTATTTAAAAATTTTTTAAATTTATTATGGAATTGTGGGGTACAAATGAGGATTTACTAAATAAGTAGGCTGCACACATGCAAAGTTTGGGTTTCTAACTGGCTCTCACTCCCTCTGGTAGTGGACCAGGTACCCATTGTGTTGTCACGTGTCCCCTGCTTTCCTCCCTTTCTCCCTCTCCTAGCAATGCCCAGCAGCTGCCGATCCCACCCTTGTGCTAATGTGATTTATATTCAGAGCCCATTTATGAGTGAGAACATGTGGTCTTCAGTTCTTTGTTTCCCATAGAGTTTTAGAACAACACGTATTCTAGGGTATGGGGATTAATAAAATTAATAATTTTAATGACTTTATAGAAGACCTTTTTTAGTGATTGTGTGGTGGTGAAGAATTACACTATTATACTAGAACACTTTGCTGCCACTTCCTTAGCTTACATTAAGTCACCAGTAGCTTCACCCTCCATTGCTTTTGAACCATCAGTGCAAATATTTAGCATTATCAAAAAGACAAGTAACTTTTTAGTATTATCATGAAATTAGTTTTGGGCCTCAGAAACCTCTCATGGGTTCATGGACTATTTTCAGAAACTCTGATTTAGACTTTCAAAAGAAATTTTATAATCCTATTTCTCAATACCTAAGATACTTCTTAGGTATAATGAAGATCATTTTTAAAAATCTATCATTTTTATCATTCCAACTTTATATAACAACCGTAGCTAACATTTTATTGATGATAGCTCATCATAGTTCAACATCTTGGGCTCAGGTGATCCTTCCGCCTCAACCTCCCAAATAATTGGGACTATAGGCATGCACCACACACCTGACTAACTTTTGGGGGGTTTTTTGTAGACATGAGGTCTTGCTATGTTGCCTAGGCTGATCTCTAACTCCTAGGCTCAAGTAATTCTCCCACCTTGGCCTCCCAAAGTGCTAGGATTACAGGTGTTAGCCACTGCACCTGGCCCTGGTGTAGGTACTGTTACTACCTACATTTTACAGATGAGGAAACAAAGTCATGGAAAGACTTAAGTGCTCAAAATCGCATTCCAGAACCTGTTTGTTTGTTTGTTTGTTTTTTAATTAAACCATTATGCTTCATGTGCAAGTGACTTTAGCTGTTTATTCTTTACTACCTTGTTTGTTCTTTTCTACACCTGTATTTGATAGAAAGTTATATTTTGTGTGTGTGTGTGTGTGTGTGTGTGTGTGTGTGTGTGTGTGTGTGTGTAGAGTATGAGAGAGAGAGAGAGATGACCTTGCGCTGTTGCCCCAGCTGAAGTGCAGTGGTGGGATTGTAGCTCTCTGCAGCCTGGAACTCCTGGTCTTAAGCCATCCTCTGGCCCTGGCTTTCTGAAGCTGGGACTGCAGGCGTGCACCACCCCACTTGCCTTCTCCTCCCCCCCAATAAAAGGAGTCTCACTGTTTGCCCAGACTGGCCTCAAACTCCTGGGCTCAAGCAACCTCTTTACAGCAAAATTCTTTTTAGAGATCTTTAGATTGAAAGCATTTTTTTACATATATTATTTCCATTAGTCTTTAAAACAATCCTGCATAGAATACAGAATAGCTAATAATATTTCCATCATATAAATGATAGATCTGACACTAAATATTTGTGACTTAAAGGTTACCAAAGCAGAGCCTGAACTTGAACCTCTGCATCTTGTAATTCAAATTAAGGATTCTTTCTGGTGTATTGTACTGCTTCACCTACCAAATAAGGGTTTTTAAAATACCAAGGTCACAGCTATTGAGAATTTTTTTCTTAGAGCCCTTTTGTTGTTACTAATAGTGAAATTAGCTGAAACAAAAACTTTCTCTTTACTTTTTTTCTACTTAGAGTATTTCTCGTTAGAATTGTTAAAGTGTTTCTTAAGAAGTAACAGAGTTTTGAAATATTACCATGTTTAACTGAAAATAGATTGTAAAGCATATACAGTTATTCTACAGATGCTAATTACACAATTATTTCCCTGTAAGCTTGTAAGACCCATATTTTTCTTGACGTAAGTAAGGTGTCAGTTATTCTATGAGAGGAATCAGGAAAACCATGGAATTTATTTATAAAAAGTTGTGTATTCTTACATGTTTAAACTTCATTCAATTTAAAGTCTTCTTCATTTGATGCAGTACACCTATCAGGATGCTTTTTCAGATCCCAAACTTTCAAAACAGTTTTTGAACTCATCAATTTTGATACCTTTTAGTGCTTCTGCCATTTTTTTTGTTTCACCTCTCCACATTGGCAAAATGTTTTCATTTGAGGACTTTTTTATCTGGGGAAACAAAAAAACAAGTTGCTCAGGCAAGATTGGGCGAATAGGGAGAGTGGGGCATGGGGTTAGTGGCATTTTGGCTCAAAAACTGGTGAGCACTCAGCATGGTGTGGGCCTATACGTTGTCATGGTGGAAGAACCAGTCACCTGTTTGTCACAGCTTGGAATGTTTCTTCCGCAAATTGTCACACAGCCTTTTCAAGACTTCCAGACAAAAACTGGTTAACTGTTTAATCTGGAGGGACAAATTCAGAGTGTACTACAAGGGACCTTCCTCCAAAAGATAATTCTGAGTTTTTTGGGGTCCCCCTTGTATATTGTGGTCCATTATGCAGAATCAAGTCAATAAAATGGTTTTCAGATGTTTCTCATCCCCTAGAACATTTTTCACATTTAAATATATTTATTATTTCTGAGATATAGATTTCCTTTTTTGTTTATATTTTTATGTCAGGAAACAAAGGCCTTTGAAAATAACATGTTATTGGAAAGCCTGTTGGCAGTTATAACTATTAAAAATAACCTGTATCAGTGCTAATGCTAAGCTCTGCTTTATAAAAAAACAAGTCACAGAAATTGGGCTCCATTTTTTAGGTGATTATAATTTACCATAACCTCTTTTGTTATGGATGAAAGTCATCTATAGCCACCAAGTAACTAATATGGTATGGATTTTATATAAAATTAATAGCAAGAACGAAAATAATCATGCCTGGAGTCTATGAAGAAGACAAAATGAACAATTTGACATTTGCTCTAAAGCATTTGTTTTAAAATAAGTGCATTATCATAATTCTTAATTTTTCTTTCCTTATTTTAAGGCTTCTCATTTCTTTTGGGGATTGTGGGCTTTGATTCAAGCCAAATACTCCACTATTGAGTTTGATTTCCTTGGGTAAGTTAAATATTATTAAATGAATTACATTTATCTCTTCTTTTGTTTGAATTAATGTTTAGAATTCATAGGGAACATTGCAGTTAACACTTTCAGTCAAGTATTATAAAAGCTGCATACGTTTAATAATTGGTCTGTGAAGAAATCTGCTGTAAGCTGTTAAGTGTGCGCAGTGTTAGGAAAGTGTCCAGTAGGTGGTGCAATAAACTAAAAATACATCCTTTGAAAATCTTCCTTAAAAAAAAAGTTAAGAAGAGTGAGTAGAAGTATAAGTTTATAAACCATGACTAATTTTGTTGTTGTTTTTCTCACTAGGTATGCAATTGTTCGTTTTAACCAGTACTTTAAAATGAAGCCTGAGGTTACTGCATTGAAAGTGCCTGAGTAAAGAAGAGATTTAATTATTCTGAAGGACCTGAGCAGTGCTTCTGAATCTTTTCTTAAGAAATTCCAAAAAGCTGATATTTGTTAAAATTCTGTTATTTAATTTGGTTATCTTGCTTTACAAATTATGCCTCTAAACAATCATTCTATTTTTTAAATAGACTGATGTCAAGAAATATACCTACTGCCCATCAGTATGTGGTGGACTAGAAATTTATAAAATCTGCAAAAGACATAAAGATGTCAGTTTAAGCCTTTCTTTGATAATTTAATCTATGTTTTATGTGAATTATTTATTATAAATTTAACCTGATTCTGTGACTGTTTTCATCTGTTTCATCTGTTTGTTGAGTATAAGCAATGAAAATGTTCCAGATACCTTTTCTTTAAGTTTTACTTTAATAAGATTAATTTTAGTAAACATTCTAGTTGTTCAGTGTAACCTTTTAATCTTGATGCACTGTAAGTAAAATGAATCATTTATTCTTGAAATGCCAGTCATTGACTGATGTAGATAACTTAGGATGCTCATGTAAAAAATATCTGTTTAGGAGGGTGAAATACACTCACTCAGTCTCTGTTGGTGGTACATCTTGTTGAGTTGAATATTAGAAAGCATTTCTTTTGGGGGGACTATAACTTGGACTTAACTCCCCCTCTTTCTACATAGTCTGGCAGTATAAATATAAATATTTACCATATAATCCTGGAATAAGTATGAATTAATGTTACCAAAACCTGTATTAAATAATGTTTTTAAGTGCTAAATATGGTCATATGTTACTAGTTTCAGTTTTTAAAATTTTACTGTATCAAATTATTTCTAACCAAAAATTTTGTTTTACTTATTGAGATGCTCTGTGTTTTTGATTATTTAATAGTTGCTAGTACTGCTTTGTATACAAATATCCAAAGTTTATCATACTCGAAAATAAGAAATTATTATTTAGGTTAATTCTTTTTTACCGATTCATTCCTTACATTTTAGTTTCATGTTTTAGTTTGGTTCCTTGTCTTTAAAGTGATGATTACTTGACACATGTAAATTCAAAGTAATATGTTGAGGCAGTTAAAGAATTAAATAAGGAACATTTAGGACGCTTATCTTGTACACTTAAAATCTGACAAATAACAAAATGTGAATTAAGCAGAAATAGTCATGGGGAGGGCTTCTGCTGTTTGTTTTTATTTCTCTTGTTATTGTTTTTATGTCTTGTGTTTAGGGGTGAGAGGGAGGCAGTTATTATATGGAAGCAAGTTAGATCTTTGGTATAGATAAGTAGGTTTCAGGTTTTGACATCTGCTCTGCATAGTTGAGCAGTCACGATTAACTTTACTTAGAAAATTAGTCTGACAAGCTTTGCACTTTGGACACATAAGTGCCCATGTACAAAGTTGGCTTACTGGATCTGCATATTCAAAATATGCAACTACAAATTTATCCTCTGAGAAATCTTCTGGGAGTCTGACGTATTATTCCAAATGACTTACATTCTCAGACAAGTGCTTTAAAAAATACTTGGATTATCTCAAGATTTTTAAAGCTAATGAAGTAAGTAGGAACACTTAAAGGCCATTTTAAATGGTAAATTCTAGTTACATACATAGAATCTTAAAATACGTTTGTATCTATAACAGTGTTAGACCAAGATTTGGTTTCTACCTCCCCAATATTATAAATGTTCACTTTTGTTTGTATAAACCATATTACTGTAAGATCAGTAGAGTTTGTCTAGTTGATTATGTGAATAGAATCAGTTAAATAATTAGTACCTTTTTATAATAGTAGCATAAACTTGAAAATTTGTTTTTGGTGGAATTTTTTCTATGGTTAGAACATTCTCATAGAACAGATAAATAATATGTGGTATCTTGACTTTTTTTTTCTTTTTCTTTTTTTCCTTTCTGCCTTCAAAAGTTCAGTAGTGTATATCTTATACAACTACGGGAGGAAAGAAGATAGTTTTTCTACCTTGCTCTGTATTCTTCAAACTATTATGAATAGAGATTCACTGAGCCATTGCTAATAGACTGTGCATAGCTACTAGCTGTGACACTATTGTGTTTTAGAGCAATTCATATAGAAATGAATGTAACCAGGAGTAAAGTTTCCCACTTTAGCCCTGGGAATATACATTGGATCTTGGGAACAAAATAAAATATTTAATGTATTTCTCCCACTCTTTCGCCAGATTTTGGGTGTTGTGATGTCTCTACTTCCTGTATAGGTTTTTGGGATCATGGTGCAGGCTAGCAATAGGGTTCAAAATTGCTTCCCTTTATGTTGACCATTTAAGGGATTCTAAAGGGAGGGTAAATCTCAACAGCGCTCTAAAATCATCCCTCTTAAAGTTTGTCCTTTGGCTTGCTGAGATGTCTGTTGCCTTTTTATGTTCAGCTGAGAAACTTGAATGCCTTACCTAAAAACTAGTAGTAAGCTCATTTTGTATATATGAAAACGGCTGTTAGATGTGGCATTCATGTATATTCAGTGTTAGTCAATAGACCATAGTGGCCTGGATGCTTTTACAAGCAAAATTCCACAATTTCCCCCCTTCTCCCCCACTTCGTTTGTATGATCTTACCTGACCAGTAATGATTTTTCTCTCCTAACCCCATGCTACCACCATTTTCTGGAAATCAAAGAGCCGTGGTAGTAAATTATACTGTTCACATGGTCATCTGAGATCAATATGAGCACAAAACTCATCAACTAGGTCTGCCTGGAATGTATATAAAACAGTGTAAATAAAAATTTGTAAATTAGTGTGAATTGTATCTTGCATATGAGATTGTGTATTGTTTTGCATTATCTTCCCCTGTGTAGAAATTTTTCTGTAAGGAAATGATCCAGCTTGTTGGTTTTAGACTAGAAATAGCCAACAGTTCTGGCTACACAGTGAGATCACAGGAACTGGAAATAGGGTTTATGGGCTTTGGTCAATGTCAGTACTTATTTATTTAGCCTCTCAGTGCCTAATAAGATTTTTCATCATTTTTTAGTCAGCCGTTAGTTTTGTGAGGTTAGATTTCTGGAAGCAGTGAATTCATACACTGTTACAATAGTAGAACTTCATTCTTTAAGTCATGATTCTAAGCTAAAAGACATTAAAAATATAATTTAATGATTGCAAACTGAAGTATTACCATTTTCTATTTTTCAGGGTTGTTAACCTTTTTCTACAAAAAAACACCTTGAAATTTTATATATCGATGTGAATCTAAATCCCATATATGCAAATATTACAGATAATAGCTCTTAGTTCAATTTAAGCATATCTCAGATGACTTCTCTAAATTTAAAGTTGTTCATTCTAGTTGTCATTAAAAGACATAAATAATCTTTTAATGACAGCTATTTCCATTTTTGCTGAAGTAAAAATATTTAACTTCATAAATATTTGTAACTACAACTTCCATATTTAAAGAAAAAAGTTTCTTCCACTTTCAAATAAAAGTTAAAAAGCCTTCACTTTTAAAATTATACAAGTGTTTCTTTTTTATATTGCACAGAAGCCTTCTGTACCATTTTATGAATTTCTTTCTTCATAACATAAATGAAAATAATACCTTGATTTTCTGCTTTAAATTGTTTTTAATAAGCATTTTATACTGCATTCCAAAGTGATATAGACTTAGACTTTTGATATTAATCAGTCATTCACTTGATAGACAAAGTTAACAATGCTTTATGCTAGAAGAATTTTGTTATTGGCAGCAACTTGCACTACTTTACACAGAAGGCAAATGGTAGTAGTTATTATTCACAGAGGAAAAAGTATTTTAAGTATGTGGTAAAACAGCTTTATCTTTATTTCAAAATTGATTTGCTCTGGATTTTCTCTAGTCTATTAGATTTTAGAATGTCCTTTTATTGTGAATTTAGTAACATATTAAGGCAATCTGGCTTTGATTCTTTTTTTATTATTATTCTTTTTTGTTACAGTGAATTACTTTTTTTCCCCCTTTTACATACCAATTGTGCGATTATAGTGTCATGTTTGGGCTTGATGTCTTTGGACAGAAAAAAGTATCAGTTATTTTAAATCAATTTTTCCCCATCTTTTAAGCTCAGCCTATAAATGTGTTACTATAACAAAAAATACTTGGTTTTGCATTACTTGAATACTTGAAAACTAAAACTAAGAGGATATATTCCATAATGAATTTGATCTTTCAGAACAGTTTTTACACAAAATTTTCATTTCTGGATTATAATTTGAAATGGAATGAACTATTTGGATTGAAAAAAGTGACAATGCTTATAAACACTATAAATTTAAGGCATCAAAATTCAAGTTTTTGTAGGTTTCTTTCCTGAAATTTTTTTGCCCTTCTTTATTCATTTGGTATACTAATGATGTTATAAAACACCAGAGTTAAAATATCATTATATCTGTGTTCATTGTGAATCCTATAGCTTTTCATACTCTCTAAAATACTCAACCCAGTTTTTTGATCGACATCTTACCTAGTAATATTTCTAATACCATTAATCATTCTAATACTCCTATCTCTATAAAAAATTGGAAACATTAAATATTGTACTTTAATGAAAGAGTAAGAAAAAGAACTGAACCATTGGAATTATAGGCAGTTCCATTTATTAAATTTCAAAACGCAATAAAGGAACTTTCAGAGATAGGATAAAACCCAGTGGTATCCATGCAGATTAGCTCCTGTGACCTGGAAAAGACCTCAGTGGAGGAGATGAGAGTGTTTACTTGCTGTGGTTGTGGTATGTTGCTACTTAATTATAGGTAGTGACACACTGACATTTTTATTGTCCAATCTGTAGTTTCTTGTATTTATCTGTACTAAAGTGACTATAAATTAATGGAATCTGCAAAGAGGAACCTTTTTTACTGTACTGTATTTAGGAGCCTTTATACAACTAGGTCAAGTTTCCATGATATGAAGTATTTGAATTTTAACATATACTATTATGAAGACATGCCATTATGCCATGCGATTAAATGATAATTTACTTGTTTAATTTCAGAAGAAAAAAATGAAATGAATAACTGTCATTGCATTAGCTGTATGGTGAACTGGGAAATGGTGGCATAAAGCTTAAATTTGTGTTTATCAAATGTGAACCATAGTAGTATAATGCTGCTTTGTATATACTGTAAGTGCTACAAGTAGTCTCAGCACTGAAAATGTATTGATACCTCTCAAATGAATGCAACTTTTGATGTAGGTGTTTTGAAAGGCCTCAGAAAGTATCTGAGTGTCTGAGAATTTGTTAATCTGTTTGGTAATGAAGATACTTCCTGTTTTTTGTTTCATATTTTCATGTTTAAAATTTAATTTTTACACTTTACTACTGTTAATTTAAGTAAAATTTGTTCTGTGGATAAAATGGGGTTGGCAGTGAAGAAAAAAGCCCCATTCATGTAACTGCTTACATAAAAAACACATTGTTACTATATGTTCATAAACTTCTAATGAAGCTGTTTGTATTTCTGTTTAAATATGTGATGTTTAGGCATTATTTCTGTTTAATAAGGCTTTTTACCATTGATTAAATGAAGGAATGTATCTTTTTGAAGAGATTTATATTCTGTAAATAAAAATTGGTTGTAACAATAAAGTTGAGTTCTAACTACAATATATCCATACATTTTATTGTTACTTTAGCTTATTTTTGAGTTTTCTTTTTGAATATCTGAAGTACAAGACTTGTCAAAGTTAGTATATGCATGTGTATTGGGAGTGATTTTTAAAATTCAAATTCTAAATTCTAATTTTTTATTATATAATATACTGTTGGGCAGGCGAGACCTCATCTCTACAATAAAATAAAAAAAAAATTAGCTGGGCATGGTAGTGCGCGCCTGTAATTCCGGCTACTTGGAAGGCTGAGGTGGAAGGATCACTGGAGCCCAGCAGGTTGAGGCTGCGGTGACTGGGAGCGGCCACTGCACTCCCATCTGGGCGACAGAATGAAACTCCAACTCAAAAAAAAAAAGTTTTCAGAAATACTTTAAAACATTTGATTGAGATGGGAGTATAGAATATTACATAACTTATGAACAAATTCTATTTACCTAGTTTAGAGACTCATTCTTCCAACTACTAGCTTTGTGTTTTCTGTTGAAACTGATGGTAGGAAACATAGGTGGATAAGACATTATTTGGGACCAAGCATCTTACAGTCTAGACGGTGTATTCACTCAACTAACAAACTCTTAAAATTATCAAATACTGGGATAGATGAACTCTGTCTTTAGGTGATGTTTATTTACCCTGAAGATCAGTTCTCCATAACAAAAATTGAAATGTGTTTGGGGTTGGGGAGGGAATTGTAGAATGTTTTTAAATTTGAGTTTTTGTGATACTTTCAAATTATTAACTAGTGTTTATGTATCCCCTATCAAACTACTACAGAAGGGATGTGTCCTGGTTAAAGTATTACATCTGAGGTGAGGAACTTGTTGATGTTACTGTTGATTACCTGGTCAAAGTGTTCTGTGTCTCCATTGTACTGTTACTTTTTCCTCTTTCAACTAACAGACAATCTGGAAAGGTGCTTTAAGATTATTTAAGTATTTTGCTCCTCAACAAACATCTATTCCCCTCCCCAGTTTAGCAACACTTAATAATTCTTGCCCAATCCAGTCTTTATTATGATGTTCACAAAATGGTGACTTTGCAGTTTTACTAGTGCTCCGTGTTTCTCAGCATTTTGCTGTAAGGAGTCATCCTCTTGTTTTTATTCATCCACCTACGACTCATCAGTCATTTGTCATTCATGTGACTGTATTTAAGTATAGACTCATAGATTCTATTTTATTAAATGGGTTATAATTTATTTATATTGATGTGAAGATCATCTGAGATATGGTCTGGGTAGCACCATCAAATTTGGATCCTGTGTCCTTTTAATATACTCCCAACATTTTTTGAGTACTTCCTTAATTTCTAGCAACATTCCAGACTCATCTTGTACCTTCTCTGTCTCAGCTGTGAAATCAACCGTTCTCCAAGGAGCTTGGTTCCTTTTAAGAGGAATGGTATTTAGAAACCAAGATCTGAGAACTAAGTGTGCTTATTGTTCCTGGGAGATCATGAATAGTAGGTCTTTTTTGCTGATAGAGCAAGAAAGTACACACACACACACATTTATATAAACCCATATTATTTTAGAAATTCTGAGTTCATACTGATACCTCTGATATCTACACTTGATCTTAATCAAAGTCTAAAAAGTGATATCTCAGATATCTAACTAGAGTTTTTCTTTGCCCTGTATTTGTTTTTCCTTTTACCCTTACTATTATGTGTATGTGTGTGTGTGTGTGTTTTAGAATACCATAGAATACTTTTTCAATGTCATGCGAGGCTGATAAGATGCTGATATTCAAATTACTGGTTTTGTTTTTTTTTTTAACCTTGATCATTTGATTAAAGTGGTATCTGCCAGGTTTCTCTCAATTCTCATTTTTCCCAATATCCCTTTCTTAATATTTTCTGGAGGAGATACTTTGAAACAATACAAATCTTTTGCCATTAATTGTTCTATCCATTGATAAGTTTTGCCTGCAACGGTTACTGTGTTTGTTTAACATTGATTTTTCTCTTCTGCATTCATAAATTGGAATTTTACTGTAAGGAATAGCTATACCTTTTTTATATTTATCCAATGTTTATATTAGTAAGGACTCAGACAATTCTCTGTCCTATAATCCATTACAGTAGTTTTGTTGCTTGGGTTGTTCCAGTTTGACACTTTGGAGCATTTTCCAGTTGGCTTCTGTCTATCCTTTCAACAAGACTATGTCATTTTTTGAGCACCTCATTTTTTGATAACATGAGTTGTTTCAGATTCATCTTGTACCTTCCCTGTCTCAACCTCCAACTTTCTTTTGGGAGGCTTGATTTTTTTCCCTATTAATATTTATTAGGTAATGGTATTTAAAAACTAGTATCTGGGTGCCTGGTATTTTAATTGCTACTGAGTTATTGCTACTTCTAGAGTCCATAGTGGACATTTAGAAAATACATATGTGTAGAAAAACACGAATATGTATTTCTTCATCTGTTTTTGTAACTTTGAGTCATTTAAAATACACAGAAAAATCACAAGAATAGTTCAGTGAATTCCTGTATATTATTTTCCTGTGTCCTCCAGTAAATATTTTACTTCCTTTGCTGTCTGTTTCTGTATTATTGGAGATCAAATTGTACATATAAATCTTCTTTACTCTTCATCTCATTTAATGCTTTTTGGTCTAAATCCTACTTTGATGTCAGGATCACAGCCCAGCTTTATTTCTAATTGCGTAGCTTATCTTTGTTTATCCCTTTAGCTTTCTTGAGTCATTGTTTAAGATGTGTCTCTTAGACATAGTATATATTTGGATTTTGCCATGGGTCAATTTAAAAATCTTTTCATTTTGTTATTTGTTTATTTTTGAGTGGAAGTCTCACTCCATCACCCAAGCTGGAGTGCAGTGGCATGCTCACAGCCACCCCAGTGTCGACCTGCTGGGCTCTGGCAATCCTTCTGCCTTAGCCTTTCAAGTAGCCAGAACTACAGGCACGCACTACTGTGCTTGGCTATTTATTGTAGTGATCAGGTCTTGCCACATCTCCTGCACTGGTCTTGAAATCGCAGGTTCAAGCAATCGACTCACCTCGGCCTCCCCAAAGTGCTGGGATTACAGGCTGAGTCACTGAGCCCAGCCTGAAAATCTTTTCATTTTAATAAATACTTTTTTTTTAATAGGACTGATATGTTTGAACTCAATGCTGGTCTTACTAGTCTGTGTTTAAATCACTGTGTAGTATGTTATCTTTGTTTTTGTTTTCTCTGTCTAGTGTATTTTCTTTGTTATTTTTCAATTTGTGTTCAGGAAGGTTTGTATTTATGTTCTGGTGGTTTCTTTTGTTTGTGTATTTTTCATAAGGACTTTTTCTCTCATTTAGGTTTTCGTATCTTGCCTGTCAGTTTTAAATTATCTTATGTGACTCCAACTATTGCTTATTGAACAGCCAGTGATGTTACTCAACTTTTTTTTTTCACCCATTTTATTTAGTTCCATTGTTTGCATGTCCGAACATACATTTGCATACCATTCTTCTACCCATGACCCTATGTTGGCTCATTCTTAGATTCACAAATATATTGAATACATCAGTCCTTACTCGGTGCTTTCTTCTCATTCTCTTGATCAGGTTAATTCTTTCTCTGTAAAAGTTCTGCTCTGACAACGGGAAGTAGCACTTACAGAACACCATCTTTCTGCTTGGTCAGTTGACCTTTCTGCCCTCTTTCTCCTAACTCACTGCAGTGTTCCAGGAACATGTCTTATCAACCAACTTTTGTCATATTATGATTTAATGTTAATGGGTTTTTCTCCCTGAGTGGACTTCATTCTCCTTAACAACATGAGCCATAATTATAATTATTTGTATAGTCTCAGAACCTTACATAGTACTAAGTACATAATGAACTTCAATATATGTTTGTTTAATTAATAAAACAATTGAACAGTTAGAAAATACTTCCAATCCAGCAAAACCATTAAAAAAAGCTAAAATAACAGGATTTGATCTTTGGGAGAGAGAAAAACTCTGGAAATAGTTGTATAGAATAAATTTTTCTGAGTTGATATGCACAAAGCTGCTTCATTGGAGAACCTATACTTATCTACTTTGGAAGTTTTAAATCCATTTTATATTTACCACATCCTTGTACATGTTTTGGTTTTATTTAGTCATGCTCTAGTTTAGGTTAGTATTAAATACTTTCTAAACTGCCATTTCACAGAGGTGACTAGAATTCAATGTTCTTAGAATATAAATCCCAGCAGCTTTTGAAATCCCACCAGTGTATATTTTTTAAAATGTGTATTCATGACATTGAAACATGCAGTAAAAGATATTTATCTCTAGATGAGTTTCCGCTAAAGCCTATAATTCTTTTTCTCATAACATTGTACTAAAGTCAATACAATTCAACCCAAGCATTACGACCTTACCAGAACTTTATTTTTTGTAATGACCTTCATTAAGATTTGGCAGTTTCATTGGATTATCTCCTCTTACTTTCACTCAACCAGGATACCACACAAGAGGAATTGGTCTAAAACTCTTCTTTGACATATTAGGTATTTTTACTGTATTATTTTATTTCAACACAAGATCATGAATCAAATATCCTAGTTTCTCCTGCAATTCCTTTAGTTGTTTTTCTCAACTATAATATAAATAACTTTATAGTACAAATGTATAGTTGAATATTATTGACATTTTCATAAAAAACTATGTTTAATAATTAGTTGATAAAGGATTGCCATTTTAATCTCACATTTTAAAAAGCTAACTAAAATTGTTCTCTTTTTTTTTTTTCTTTTCCTAGTTTTGTAACACTTGGAAAGAATTTAAAATGTTATTGTGCTTCTTGCAGTTATTTTTTTACCCCCATTTCACATGGAAACAGAAGGCTGTGTAGGTGCCTTGTAAAAGGCTGTCTTGGTGACATCCCTAACAAGAACCTAAAGCAATCCTGCTAAAAAAGATTTCTGAGTTCCAGCTTTGAAATATTTTAAAACAGAAAAATCATCAACAAGAAAGAAATTGTAACTATTTGCCAGTAATCCTTCC